ACAAAGATAGAGACAGACTGAAAAAGAAATTAAGAACAAACCCTCTTGCAAATACTAACCAAAATAAAGTTAATATAGTACAGTAATTAGATTTTAGGACAAAAAGCATTAATAGTGATGAAACAGGACTTTCATAATGAAGTTTTCGGTCCATCAGGAAGATATGACAAGATTGAATTTGTATCTAATAATATAGCCTCAAAATAAAATAAAAGTTGACATAACTAAAAGGAGAAATATACACATCCACAATCATCCGAGGGACATTTTAAAATCCCTCTTTCAATAAGTGATAGAACAGAGGGAAAATCAGTATAGATACACACAATTTGAACATGGTTAACATATCTAATACACAAACATAAAATTCTGTGCCTAATAACTGCAGAATACATGTTCTTTTCAAGCCCACATGGAACATTTACAAAAACTGACTATAGATTGGGCCACAAAACAACTCTCAGCAAATTTCAAAGGATTGAGATAATACAGAATAAGTTTTCTGACCACAATGTAGTTTAGGTAAAAATCACTCACAAAGAGATGGCTAGAAAAAATCTTCTATGTTTGGAAATCAAGAAACACATTTGTAAAAAACCCATGGGTCAAAGAAACCACATGGAAATTAGAGAACATTTTAACCTGAACGATAAGAAAAACACTAACGTACAAGTTTGGTCTCAGGATAAAGTCTAGGTAGAAGATAGACTTTGGATTAAACAGTTTATGGGTAGCAACTGTAGATAAGTGGATGAATTCAACCAAACAGTACACATAGAAGGGCCAATTAATAGAACACTAAGAGGCACCATCCTTTAAAAGGCCAGCAAATAAGGAGGCGGTCAGGACAATAAGGGGAGATGATCAGACAGTACCTCTGAGACCAGAGTAAGCAAGAACCCAGCCCTCGGCCCCCATGTTGCAGGTAGATTTGTGCTTTAGATTGCCTTCTTCAAGACTGTCTAAATCCTCCTCTAGTTCCTGGGGCAAAGCAAGGCACCCTGAGCCTGGATTTGGTCCCACGTGGGGTCTAGTCGCCAGAAGTGCCTCTCTTGAAATTTTCTAGGTCACGTTTTGGTGCCTAGGACAGGTGCCATCTCTCCCCTTTGAGGCACTCTCCTACTCTCTAACCCATGATTGGTGTGGATCAAATTGGTCTGCCAGAATGGTGTTTCATGCTTTTAGGTGACTCTCATATTACATACAAGATGAATTCAGGGTTCTGGGTCACTAAATCTCACCATTGACCTGGGGATTGTGTTGTGTGTGTGGGGCTGTGCATTAGCTCTCACTGGTCTGTGTTCCAACTGTGGTGCTGCCTCTGGTGTAGACCCCCATGCTTGTGAGGGTGCTGGCATTGTTCTTTACCCTGTTCACCTCCCACCACTGGCACCAGGGAGATAACCCTACCCACCTCTGCAGGTTCTGCACCTTGTGTCAGGCCAGGCCCACTTCATCTGAGACCTTTTAAAACTGTGCTCCACAAAGCCAACGGCCCTTCCAATCAATGTCCTCTCGTTTCCAATGATAGTGACATTGTGCTCTCCAGGTTTGGACTTAAGTTATACTGATGAAGAAATGGACATTCCTCGCACAAATGAAAATGCTCTTCTTGCTCCACGCATGGGCCTCTTGCCTGTGTTTCCCCGGTGTTGCCAAAAGATCACGGTCTAGGAATGCAGTAATTACAGCCTAAAAAGTTCAGGAGAAGACATGGTTGGACTATGTGTTCTATGTTTATGCTCAAAAAGTCCAAATGGAAAACATAATATGACGAGAAAATAAATTTATTATTCACATTTTCCTGCATACTCTGGGTAAGACTTGCATTTCTGGTAATCACCAATGAAGCACAGTAACCTTTGAGTCACTGGAAGCCAGTACTCACAGTGGCACAATAGACACAGAATCATCATAATGATGTAACCAGCATTAAATAAATGGAAACTGTAGAGGCCAAGGTCTGTATAGTTCACTACAAACAGGTTCAAAAGAGTCATGGCATTGTGAATACTAACAGCATTACTACTCTTTTATCACAGTGGGAGATATGAATTTAGCCAGGAATGGCACATTTGACAATAAAGAACCTGAAGGGACTATTTCCTAGGGCAGAGGAAGAAATGGTGCCCATATCCTATAAAGAATCTATATGTGCACTGATTGGGGAATAAACACACACCTTCTCTCTACCCATTGTTCTAAATCTTCATTGACAAGTCATTTTATCTTACTTGGGCCCATGAATTTTGTAATACATTTTTAAATCAAATTGTTTATATAGACAATGGTCCTGTGAAAAATATTTGCCCTGTGGGCAGCCATGAGCAAAGCAGGGCAGAACTATGAGAAACCAGAAACCATGAGAATAGTACCTTGGAAGTGATCAAATAAATACAGAATGACAGATCCATTGGATTGAGGGGTAGAAAACCACTGACACTACAGCCACTGGAGGTAGGGGAGAGAGAACAGATTGCAGCAAGGTAAATAGTGAATGGTATAAAAGTTGACAGCGACAATTTTTTAAAGGAGCTTGGCTATGAACAAGAGTAGCTAGCAGGAAGGTAGCAAGGAACATTACACAGACCATCAAAAAGAATGAATGTAGTTGACTCAAATCATAGAAAAAATAAAAATTCTTGGGTATACAGTGATGGAAAGGGAAACTTATTCAACACCACTGGTAGGTAACTTGCTCTTTACTCATAAAAAGTAAAACAAAGCACCCCCACAATGGAGAGCTCTTATGGGTAACATCTTAACCAAAGAATTTAATTTAGCATACTAATAGTGGAACAATTTGACATTGTGTCTCCTAATGTGATACAATATGAAGTACACAACATACTTATGAAATATCTCTGCCCAAACCCTGAATCTTATCAAGTCTTTAGACCTTATTAACAGGAAATACTGGGGGATAGAAACAGGTACTGATATTATAAATAAATAAATACACAAATCTAAAATGTGGGACATTCTATAAAACAATGGTCTGATTTTTTTCATAAAGTCAATGTGGCAGAGAATAAGAGGTGAAGTTCTAGAAAAAGAGACAAAAGATATAACCAAACACCATGGATAAAACTTAATGAAATCCTGGTTAAACAACATTAACAATTATAAGACAATTTATGGACAAGTAGAAATAATCTGAATATGGACTGAATATTAGATGATATTGGAGAACTACTGTTATTTTTCGGTGTGATAGTGATATTGTAATTATATAGAAGAAAGTCATTATTTTAAGGAAATTTCTGTTGAAGTATTTATGGGTGAAACGTCCTATCTGCAGCTTACCTTCAAATGGTTCAGCAAAAACAACTATACATATCTGTACAGACACACTGAAAGTACACACACACATACAGAAAAGGCAAAATGTTAAAAATGATTGGAGCTAGGTGGCATGTACAGATGCTATCCCATTTGACTATTCTTTCCACTTGTCTGTGTGTAAATTTTCAAAATAAAAAATTGGGGAACACCCATTAGATTGGCAAAAACATCCAAAACCAAGAGCGACAAATGTTGGAGAGGTTGTGGAGAAAAAGGAACCCTCATACACTGTTGGTGGGAATGCAAACTGGTACAGCCACTATGGAAAACAGTATGGAGATTTCTCAAAAAGCTAAAAATAGAAATACCCTGTGACCCAGCCATCCCATTACTGGGTATCTATCCTAAGAACCTGAAATCAGAAATCCCAAGAGTCCCTTGCACCCCTATGTTCATTGCAGCATTATTTACAATAGCCAAGACGTGGAACCAACCTACATGCCCAGAAACTGATGATTGGATGAAGAAGATATGGTATATACACACAATGGAATACTACTCAGCCATAAAAAAAGACAAAATTGGCCCATTCGCAGCAACGTGGATGGACCTCGAGGGTATTATGTTAAGCGAAATAAGCCAGTCAGAGAAAGACGAACTCTACATGACTCCACTCATAGGTGGAAGTTAACATATTGACAAGGAGATCTGATCGGTGGTTACCAGGGAAAAGGGGGGGTGGGGGGAGGGCACAAAGGGGGAAGAGGTGTACCCACAACATGACTAACAATAATGTACAACTGAAATCTCACAAGGTTGTAACCTATCATAACATTTAAAAAAAAAAAAAAAATTGGGGAGAGGAAGGGAGCCAGTAGAGTGAGAAGGTAAAGATGGGTGTAATTGAACTACAGCCCAAATAGAAAGATTTGCGCTAAACAGAAGGTGTGCATTATTTTTTGAGATTAGCGGAAAGAAGCTGTGAGTACAGGTATAGACAAGTGGGTAGGTATGAGCGTGGGAAGTGGAGGGAATCTCAATCTTCTCCATGAAGTAGGAGGCAAGGAGAGTAGCAGTAGGTCAGTGGCATGAAGAGAAGGAAGATGGGGAACAGCTGGTGTGGGAAATGGCAAAGGGAGCTGACCAGAGCTACGTAAAAGATTTCAGAGGGTGCAGCTGAGGTGCTGCTAAGGACTTGAGTGTCTAGACACTGCTCCTCTTAGCACTTCCAGCTTCTCTCCTATCATAGTACTTACCAGATACTAATTGCTGTTTACTCTCCTAGACTGAGAGTTTCTTGAGGGAAGGGGCTCAGCTTTCATCTTGTGGTTCCCAGCACCTAGTACCGTGTCTGGCATGTGGTAAGCACTCAGTGAACTTATTAAAGAAAACAGTGACAGTCTTACATTTAACTCTAAATAGTAAGTTTTTAAATGAGGACCTTTCCTCTTATCAGCAGCCCACAGGTGCTGCTGGGTTAGCTGCTTTTCTACTCTGTCCCCATAGCAACATAAATGTTTGTAATAACCAATTAAAAACTTCGATCATTGCATTTGCTCCCCTGTAGTGAAACGGTCTGTTCTATACCCAGTAGACTAAAATCTTTTGAGATCAATGATCTTGTAGCTTGATATCACAAACTCAGCACAGTAGTTGGCCTAATACATAGCAGGTATTTCCTGAGCTGAGCTGAGCTAAACAAATAAGACTTTAGGTTTTGGTTTGCAAAGGCTTTATTTCTGAACGTGCATGTGATTCTAACAATTACTTTTAACAAGCAAAATTAACAATATTACTAAAGTACAATCAATATAAGATAAAGTGCCAAATTATTTGAATCAGAGTATTCTGGATAAAACACTGGGAAAAACACTGGCTTTACAACAATATAAATATAAAAGGCACAACAGCACCTCTTTTCTATTTGTGTCCCTTCAAGCGTTCTAATTGGTAAGAATGCTTTCCATGCCACCGGAGGCAAACGTTTCCAAACAGACTTGTCTTTTATTTATTTTTACTTTTTTTTTTGCTGAGGAAGATTTGCCCTAAGCTAACATCTGTGCCAATCTTCCTCTATTTTTTTACTATGTGGGCCACAGCATAGCATGGATGCTAACAGAACAGTGTAGCTTCGCACCCAGGAACCGAACCTGGCTTGCTGAAGCAGAGCGTGCTGAACTTAATCTCTAGGCCACCAGGGCTGGACCCAGACTTATCTTTTAAAATTCAGCAGTTGGGTTCAGGTGACTTTTTATGAAAACAATTCAGGAGACCAAGCACTTTTAGTTTCAGGTACTGAAGATGGCCAATTTTCTGAAAATGGAAGGCTACATTTAACTCCTGAACAAGAACCACATCCCAAAATTGACTCTTTAGAAATCCAGCCTGAACTTGTACTGCCATAGTTAGGAGTTTTCTGTTTTGTAACGACTGTTGGAAATATATTCTTCAAATTTAACTCTTTCTTAATTAAACATTTATCAGTTCTTTGTTTGACATACTTCAGTTTCTTTCTTGGTAACTCTTTTTGATCAGGAGAGTTACAGGCAGCAGAGCATTTCCTTAGACCTATGGCTTGGAATCCAAGCATATCTGAAAGAAATACTTTTTTTGTGGTGGGAGGGACCCATTCATCAATATCAGTTTCAAGGCACTCAGCACTAGGACAGTTGTTGAAAACCTCTGGTTGTGTAATGCCAGATATAATAGGGCTTCTGGATTTCTGGCTGGGTGTTCTTATATTTTTTGGACAGCTAGAGGTGGCTTGCTGTGCATCATTTTCAGAGGAAACCCTTGTTTTTTTATAGTTAGCATCAAGATCTGAATAAAAGGTAGGTAATTTTTTGAAAGCTCCTTTTATCCCAAGAATTCTTGTTTGGTGGAATCCTGCAACTGGAGTTGACTGTGAACATGGAACAAAGTCTTGGCTATCTTCAAAATCACATTCTGAATCTGACTGAAAACGAGGTGGAGAGGAGCACGTTCTCAAAAACATAGAGGCAGACATGTTTTGCAAGGAAAATTTTTGTGAAGACTGGCCAGAGTTTTCAGAAAGTGATCTCAGTGAGAAATCAGATTCTGTATGATGATTTTCTGCCAAAGATTTTCCCTGTTGTAACAAAATATCCTGTGATTTCTTTGTAATTTCTATTGCAAAGTCCATTTCTTTAGCACTATCATCAAAGAGATCAGCAGAAGCATTGTAGCTACTTTCATGACGAGTAGAATAGTTCTGTGTTAAGTTATTATTGATTTGTCCATAAGGCATTTCTTTCAATGTATCTGTACTTCTACTTGGACTACTGCAGAGAGCTTCTAAGGGATATGTAAGTTTCCTGCAAATTGTGAAACTGTCACCTTGGTTCTTTGGCCACCTACTATATTGTTTATTTTCTAAGTTGCAAAGTTCAGAAACATCATAATATCTCCTACAACAGAAAGTTGTCAACTTTTCACTCACTTCTGAAAGTGATTTTTCTCCATATCCATTAAAATATTTGATATTGAGACAAGAATGCTCACTCTCTGAAGTATTGAGCTTAAGTGAAATTTCAGCCCTATGTGGCAGAATTCTGGGAGACGTCTTACGAGAAATTGTTGTTCTTAAACCTTTGGAAGATGGTAACAGAGCCGACAGACAAGTGTTTGGTAGAAAATATTCAGAAATATCTCTTCCATTACTACTTATAGAAACAGCCTCTGCTGTGTTATCTGGTTGTGGCTCCTTTTGAACACGAAGACTTGAATTTGTTTCACAGTTGGAAAGGAAGTTATCTTTGCCAGAGTTTGCTTTGACTGCTGTTTGTGAGGATCTTAAAGCTATAGGTGGTGTATGCAAGGCTCCAGTAGTTCTCTGGGGAGTCACAGATAACGTGCTGTGGTCTGCATGTAATTCATCAACATCATTATTTATGTGACGTTTCCTACTACTGGCGTCTGTCGGAATTATAGCAATCTCACTTTCGATAACTGCCAGAAACTCGTTTAAGCTTTCAGAGAATGGCAGATCATCCCAAATCTCGGGGTCACAATCCTGGGAGCCACCAGCTGTCTCTTCGACTCTGAGTGATGAAGGTGGACGACATGTAGATCTCTCCTGAAGGCTGGGGTGGGCATCTACATCATGATGCTGGTGACATGTTAGCTCATGCTGAGAATACCTAGTTTTAATTTCAACTGCACTGTGGAAAGATTTCGTATTACTTGGCTCAAAGGGCTCTTGCATTTTCAAAGGGGATAAATTAGAGTCAGTAACTCCAATTTCATGATGACTGCTGTGAACTGCACTTGGCTGATTAGCTTGTAAGCCAAGTTCTTCACCCAACTTTTGTGTTGTACTCTTTCTATCCATATATGAAACAAGGCCCCAGGAACCTTCTATGGCATCATGGAAGCTAGTGGAACCAGTGGCCTCTGCAAAAGAGATGTACTTTCTGTTCTGGGGAAGAGTAGCAATGGCCTTGTTTTGTTCTGAAGCTGAAAAATCATCATCACCTGTTAGTTGTGAAACAGAGGAAGTGAGTTCAAGTGATAGCTGCCAGAATCTTGAAAAATTATCTCTGCCATGGGACTCGAAAAAACAAGAACTGCTGTCAGGGCCACATATGCTAATGAGATCACTACTTGAGTGTGTTGAGCTATTAGGTGTCTGGTAGCTACCGTGAAGCTTCCTGAAATCAGAATGCTGCAAAAGCTGACGGAAATAGTCAATGACAGTGAAGCCTGCAACACCTGGGTCTGGTAAAACCATCTGGCAAGCCACCAGCCCTTTAACTTCTCTCCTGCGGTCAGGACACTGATGTAAGAAGTTACAGGAATCTGAACCTTGCCCATGTTGGTTTTCAAAATTCTGTGAAAGAAGTGAATGAATTTAAATGAAAATAAAATTTTGTTCCTTTGACTCGAATGAGAAACAGGGATTTAAAAGGTTAAAACAGATACAACTATAATCCCACCCCCAAATTTCAATTCCTCTAATGTTATAGGCAGAGTAGCATACGTAAAAGAAGTAAACCTTGGAGTAAAGAGACTTGTCTTCAAATCCTGCTTCTAACATTTACTAGTGTTGGGACTTTGCACAAGTTATTTAACCTCTCTGAGCCTTAGTTTTCTTGTTTATAAAATAAGGATAAAAGTGCAGGATTATCGTATGAGCAACAACACATAGAAAACCGCAGTGCTTAGCAAACAGTCGTTGCTCAATAAACGGTAACTATATTTCTCATCAGTGTCTGTAAGCTTTGAATGTTTAAGGGAATGTTCTCACTTGTTAAAAAACAAAAGAAAAAGAGAAGGAATTGTCTAAGATTTTTACAAACGAAAGCTCTGGAGCTCCTAGTTTCACCTTCTCTTTGGGTTTTTCTCACTGTTCAGTTGCAACTGGAGTTCTCTATTCTCTCTTTTTTTAAGATTTTATTTTTCCTTTTTCACCCCAAAGCCCCCCAGCAGACAGTTGTATATTTTTTGCTTTTTTTTTAGTTGTGGGTCCTTCTAGTTGTGGCATGTGGGATGCAGCCTCAGCATGGCCTGATGACTGGTGCCATGTCCGCGCCCAGGATTCGAACCAGCGAAACCCTGGGCTGCTGAAGCGGAGCACACGGACTTAACCACTCGGCCACAGGGCCAGGCCCCTCTACTCCCCTTTTTAAAACCTGATTCCAATGTCGACAAAATTTCCATTTGCTCCCTTCAGCATAGACAAGACAGAAAACAATTACTCCTTCAGAGTCAGTACATTCTTTTCACTTTTTCTACAGTCACTTTCATAATTATTTAAGACCATCCTCTCTAACCTATTCTAAGAGTTATCAATACTCAGATACTTTGCCTTCGGTATTAGTTCCCTCCTTCTCCTTTAATAGACGATAAAATTAAAAAGCTAGAGAGTTGAGGAAAAGTTTTACTACAGAATTTGAACAAAGTTTGGAGGGTAAAACAAACACCAAATATTAAAACAAAATATCTAACACTCCAAATTCATAATAAATTTAGATTTTTAAAGCTCTGAAAGCATTTAAACTGGGCTTTTCTGACTTTTGCAAGAGGAAGTTGTCACATATGATATTGTAACAGATCACCTATAGCCTATTTTTATACAGCTTAAAGTGCTTCTACAGGCTTTCATGTTTATGACACCTAAAAACTATTTAGAGAATTCAAATCATTTCATCACAATGGAAATGTTAACAGAATATGAAAGAGAAAGCTAGTCTCAATTACCGTAACTCCAAAAATAAAGCTTTGTCCAAGAAAGCAAGTTTCCACTGCTTTAGTTAACAGGTTCTGAGTTGTATCACTGTCCAGTGTTTCTGGAATTTCTTTAGGATCTTGAATGTATCTTGATTGGAAAGAAAATAAAAAAATGTGAAGAGATAAGCTTTGAAGTTTTAACTTGCCATAAAGTCACAAGATACAATTAGTTTGAAACTGTGGCATGAATCGTTTGAATTATTTTTAGAGAAAAAAAGTGACTGTAAGAGCTTGGCGTTTTGTTCCCTCTAGTTTCTGATAGCCTAGAAAGGCAAAAACAATTGATCAAGTGTGAATAAAGTAGATGCTGCCTAGGAATCAGGCCCAGCTATTATTCTGAATGTGCAGTGGGATTAATGGCGGGATCTCTAGCCCTTCTCTTCAAAGCAGATGGAAGTCTTTCCTCTTCCCTGACAATCCTGCCTGTGGTCCCACTGCTGCCTCTTTCTTCAAAACAGTTTGCTCTCAACTACAAGGAGAGGGACAGAGATTTCCTGTCAAGGGGAGGAGGACAGAAGCCTGAGGGAGAGATAAAGTTTCAGTTGCTTATTATACATCCGTGCATTCTCAGGACCACACCATAATAGGTCAAACTGTGCAGATGAAGTTGCAACGCAAGTGAGAGAAATGACAAAATTTCAACTTCTGATATGCAAATATTCCCACAAATAGCTTCTTCTGCCTCAAGGGACGTTAGCCACTTGAATGCTAACCTCAATTTGGATAATCCTTCAGTTTGAAAGGATCTTACTTTCTTATTCTATATTTCTCTAACTTGGATTAGAGTGTTGTAATTTAATATTCTAACTACAGCTTAGTTGGCCTGAATAAAAGGAGCCTGGTTTAACACCACAATATATATTCAGGAAATAAACAACTTTCTCTTTCTCATTTGATTACTTTTGAAAGGAACTGATGATCTGAGGTTGAGTGATCATCTTTTTACTAAATGCCTATGACCTTAAAAACACATATCTTCAAATTTTACTGATATACTAAAAGGAGTAGCTAGGGAAAAAAATGCTTTAAATATTCTTACCTGTGCAAACCAGTGGCTGTAAGACCAAAAAATGCATCTAAGCAGCTTCCAAATACAGTAATGCCAAATAATTTGTTTGATTCCGCAACTTTTAAAGAAAGTTTATATCTGTAACTGACATTTTCAGCCTCACCAGTAAAGCCACATTTTGGACAATTAGACCTGAGAAAGTGGAGAAAAAAAGTGTAAAGAGATGTTCACTAATTTTTTTTTGTATGATACAAAACAAATTTGGAAAAGTAAACATTAAAGATAATATTTTGTGTACAAATGTACCTACACAACTTACATTCCTCTTAAACTATTTCAGATCAACCTCTTTTGAATTTCCTAAGAGCTACCTTTACTGATTTAAATTAAGTAGCACCAAACTGATAGAAAACTGTGTGTGTGTGTGTGAGAGAGAGAGAGAGAGAGAGAGAGACAGAGACAGAGACAGAGACAGAGGGAGAGGGAGGTATGTCCTTATTGGGTAGCTAAATCATCATTTACATATTGAGGCATATTATGTCTGGGGTTGGGGGGCAAACTAACATAAGGAAGTGAGTACCACACCAACAGAAGACCTGAAATTTAAGGTCTATCTTCTGTTAAGAGAAAAACGTCTGTCGAGAATAATGCATAATCTTGACACATGTAATAAATATTTATATACAAAATACCTAGTTATATTTTTCTCACCATTATAACTTTACTTTCTTTAATTCCCTGGAATATGCTGAGAAGTTACTAGATTACAAAAATTAGGTATGAAACATTTTAACTTGTTTTTAAGACAATATGTAATTATGACCAAAGGCTTTCTTGTCAAAAACTACTGTGTGCCAAGTGTAACTCTACTGTCAAGTGTCAGCTGTGTGGTCTTGGAATAATTACTGAATCCCTTAAACCTCGATTTCCTCATCTGTAAAATCCAAGGGTGAAGAAGGATAAAATGAGACAAAGTCTAAGAAAAGAAAGTAAAGAAATGATCTAGTGCATATCTTCCAAATTAATCAGTTAGTCTGCTTCTCTCTCATAATTATATTAAATATTGTAATGATTACTATTGCTTCTACTTAATGTTTCCCACCTTTCTGGTTGTTTGCAATATCTTTTAACTCTGATATCCATCTTTCACGCTCTTAGTTTACCAAACTAACTCCTTAAAACATCCTATGGTAATGATTAGTCCTAGGATTTGATGCAAACAGAAAGTAATGTTGAAGATAGTTGTATAAATTTGATTGCTGCCAGACAGCCACTAGAGGGAGCCTAAAATCCATAGCTCAAAAGGCGACTATTTTGAACAAAGGTTAATCCTTCATATAAGAAGTTGCTGATTCACCATCATTAGATCTGCGCTAATTATTTTTTTCTTGTCACACTGAGGATGGATCTGTGCCAATCGATTCATATAATCTTACCCAAATCTGTTGGAGTTTGTGCTGTAGTCTGGCCATAGAATAAAGTGAAGGCAATTGACTCACTTGGGGATAAATACTTCATTAGTACCAAGCTCTAGTGAAATGAACTTGTTAAATATATATTAGAACTTCTTTAAAGATTATATATTAATAATGCATTCAGGTCTAATATAGGATTCTTAGAAAATCTTAGGATAATTAATATGCATCAGCATTTTGCAATTTACAAATGTTTTTAATATACATTATTTCATTCTGATAACAAGACATTTACCTCCATTTAGAAATGGAGTAATTGGGGTGAATTTTTGCCCAAGGCGACAGTGAATTTTATGACCCAAATCCAAGGTCTTTGATTCCTAGCCTGGAGTTTTTTTCCTGTATGATGTCTTATGACAACTATAAGAACAATATGGCTACTAATGAACCGTCTTGCAAATAGAAAATATCAATGACAGCCTAACAAAAACTAGGTCTATTGGAATTAATGCATATACACAGTAAGTACATACTTTAATATAATATATATGTATAATAAAGGTATTTATTTACATAGTTTCCTTTACTCCTTTTGGGAATAAGGCTGGATTGAAATAAATAAATGATAATATGGAGTAATATAGATCAGAGCTTCTCAAAGTTCAATATGCATACAAATCATCTGGGGATCTTGTTAAAATGAAGATTCTGATTCATTAAGTCTGGGACAAGGCCCAAGATTCTGCATTTCTAACAAGCTCCCAGGTGATGCTGAAGCAGCTGTTCCTCAGACCACATTCTCAGAAGCAAGGGTGGAGAAAACACATTCAAATCACAGTCCCCTGATATAACTTCTGGAGGCACCCCTATTTTCCAAAATGTCATAGTACGAAATAGCAGTTTTCAAATTGTTTGGTCTCAGGACCCTTTATACTCTTAAAAACTATAAAGAACCCCAAAGAGCTTTTGTCTATGTGGGTAACATCTATCTATACTTTTAACTATATGTGAGAAATTAAATGAAAGTGAGAAATTAAAATTGAGGAATCTAAAAAATGTTTATTAATTCATTAAAGATAACAGACCCACTATATGGTTAACAAAAAGAACTTATTTTTATGAAAAATAACTATGTGTTCCAAAACAAAAAAAAAAGTGCGAAAAGAGTGGCATTGTTTTACATTTTGCAAATCTCTTTAACACCTGGCTTAATAAAGACAGCTGGTTCTCACATCTCCTTCTCTGCTCAATCTGTTGTGCTATCACATGTCATGTAGCCTCTGGAAAACTCCACTGTGCACTTTTAAGAGAATGAGAGTAAAATGGCGAACAATGCTTTACAATTATTATGAAAATAGTTTTGACCTCAAGGAGCCTATGAAAGGATCTATCTGAAATAATACTCATAGTTTGCTACCTTTTTTGTTTGATCCCAGTTAAAATACAGTTTCATTTATTTTTCTAGATTTGTATACTTATATTTAGTCCAGAAGTAGAAAAATTGATGAGATTAGTGATTCTTAGTGTTTTCTTGATCTTGAAATCCTTTGAAAACCTGATGAAAGCAATGGACTCACTCTCTGAGAAGAATAGACATGCAACCATAACACAGTATTTTACATACTTTGGGGATTGGAGGATTCATATACACCTATAACTTATCCACAGACTCCAAGTTAAGAATACCCAGAATAGATGATTAAATAATGTCCCTTCCAAGTTTACAGTCCCAGGTTAAATTGAATGTATACAAAGCAATGAAAAATATTTTTTAAAAAATGTATCTCCAAGACTTCACATAACACTTCTCCCCAAAAAAGGAGAAAACTATCATCTATGTGTGTGAAATTCAGTTGGACTTGTTTAAATAAGTGATACAAACGTTCTGGGTATTTGGGGGATAGGGGAGAGGACAGGTACATAGCTACGATTCCCGTGTTAAGATAGGGAGAGAAAGTTCTTAGTGTCAAAGACAGATTTCCGGACTAAAGGGACTGTAAGTCCCATTAAGTCACCAAGAAGGGCGATTTACATCTGTTTGGGCTGGGTGGATAGCTTATCTGGACAAATAAGTCCCTTCCCTTGCTTATAACTTGGGAGTACACATACACACACACAGTCATATATATATAAGATCACACATACATACAAGTTAGTTTGGTCCTTCATGTGAAAAGATGATCATACCCACATATATATATACACACATATGTATACCTTTATATATGTGTAAATATGATCATCTTCTCACATGAAGGACCAAACTTCTTATACATATTTTTTTTATATTTGTATGTCTGCATCTTTATGTCATGTAATCTCTTTTCAAGTGAAATCTAACTTGGAACTCTTTCAACAAGAGCTTTCAATGGAGCTCTTGCTGGAACTCAAGTGGGGGTCCCAGAGCCCTACCTAGTATTCTCTAATTTCCGCTATTACTTCTCTAATCCCTCTGTCCCTCTAGAAGCACCTCCAGGGAGCCCTAAGGCTCTGCAGAATGTCATTTGAAAACCACCACTGTTCTAACCTTGGAGGTTAAAAAAATAAAAAATTTAACTCCATAAAATGCAAAACACCTATTATGGTGGTTGTTGCTAATGAGTTAGGGTTCAGTGAAATCTTTAGACATAAGACTTTTCGCTCTTTGGTGTCTCTAAAATCTTCTGCAAGAACAGAGTGTGGCATTCCTCTGTTATAAACCTGCTGTGCTGTAGCAGTGGGGAAAAGAAGGTGAGGAATTTGTTTCCTGTGTTGGTTTACAAGTGATTCCAAGTAAGAAAAAAGGAAAGCAGTAATAACAGAAAAGATAAGCATCAGAAATTATGGGGATAGATTTTTTTGTGTCCTGTCAATGTAACATATATAGAGAATAGGTTATATTTCTGTGGACTATGTTTTCACAGGCAAGGACCAAGCGCTGTGGGTTTTATGTACCTAAACGGTCCAGTCAGAGCTCCCCTTTCCCGGGGCATCTTAAACTCTGGGAAAGAGAGAGGGAGATATGATTCTCGATACAAATCACTGCTAATTTGGAGCCAATACAGTGATTATGATTATAGACAGCAGCCAGACTGTTTACGCCTGAATATGTTTCTGCCACTAACTAGCAGGCTGTGTGATCTGGGGTAAATTACTTAACTTTTCTGAGCTTTAATTTTCTCTTTTGAAGGTTAATATTAACAATAGCATCACCTCATAGCACTGTTGTATTAAAAGATATATTGCTTACAAAGCTCCTAGCATACTGCGTCACATATGGTAAACATTCATTAATATTATCTATTGTTATTACCAGTCTACACAGGTAACAATGGCAGTATTGTCTGACCTCAGTTTTTGTTGCAGATTATCTTTAAAAGAAATGACTTAGGAAAAAAATCCAGAGTTTTAAAAATAGTTCACATCTATATATTACCAAGTACGTATCACACAATGTTCTAAGCATCTCACATACATTAACTCATTAGATTCATAAAACAACCCCATCAGGCAGATATTACCTTCCCCATTTTGAAGCCTAGACAGATAATCTAAGTGACTTGCCCAAGGCTATACAGCTATAAATGGCAGGGTTAGGATTTGAACCCAGGGAATTTGGCTCCAGAGAATTATGCTTTTTAATCACCATGATACACTGCAATAGGTAAAGTACATTTCTAATAGATTTGTAATAATAACAGCTACCATTTTTGAAATCCCACTATATGTCATGTATTGTCATTACCTCTAACTCTACAATTATCTCGTATTGTGGGTATTAGTATCCCACTTTAGAAGTGAGTAATTAGGTTCACAGAAGTTAAGTGTCTTGCCCGAGATCATAAAATTAGCAAGTGCAGAGCCTATCTGCAACCCTGTTGTGTTCTCTGAAGCTTGAAATTGTTCTATTACACCACACTGCTTCTAAGAATAGATCCTGATCAAAGGCAGATAGCCCCTGGGTTTTAGTATTTTCAAATAATAGGTAGCAACCTGAAAATGGGTGCACCTAAGACACTACCATATTGTCATTTATTCTTTCATTTAACAAACATTTGTTGCATATTTTCTATGGACTAGACCCTAGGCTGGATGCTGAAGATTTAATGACGAGTAACACAAACAGGGTCGTTCTCTCAGAGTTTACAAATGAGTACTTGAGAGAATGGCTTCATAAAGGGACAAGGATAATCACTGGAAGGATGACTTAGAGTCTAGATGTGGGCTGGAACTGCCAACTCCTCCTCATTCAATGCTAACTAGACAAAAAGAACAGCTAAGAACATCGGTGGCCTACTATCTTACTTACATACTACTAGGTACTTACTAGATATCCTTATCCTCTCCTCCAGGCAGAGAGCGCTCTTAAGGAACTCCAACCCTAACCCCCCTCACTTTGTACTCTAAAGATCAGAGAAGAATCTTAGGCTCTCGGGTATACTTGGCCTGCATCTGAGCACCATAATAAAGTATTATGTGCCAAGCCCTGTTCAAGCTGCTGCTGAATACAGAGATCACTATAACATAGTCCCTATTCTCAAGGAGTTTATTTATTTATTTTAAAAAATAATCTGGGGACCATGCAAAAATAAACCAACAACAAATAGAAAACCCCTATACTATTTCCAGGGATATCCCAGAAGCAGGCTAAGTTTTTGCATCAGGATTGGGACTTAATCTTTAAGAAGTTATTTTTCTTCTCTGAAGCAGGTACTTAGCAAAGACTTAAAGGTAACCTGAGACTTCCCTCTAGTAATAGAGGATTACCAGGCAATTTTATTCTAGGATTTACAGAAGAACCAACCCAAGAGAATCTTATGTCCTAGTATGGTGAATTTAATCCTACTTGCCTTTGAGGCATAGGAAATCTACAGTGATGCACACTTGAATTTCCCCTCTCATGTTTACAGGCTTTACTTTTACCTTTTGGAGACCAGGATTACCCGAGAGAAGCACTTTTGACATGAAGGATATACAAAACTCGAATTCTGGAGAGCAAGAACTGAGGCAAGAAGAAATTTTCTTCTTCTATTCATGTGCTCTCACCGTGGCCTGCAAAACAAAATAGCGATGGGATGAATGTAAAACAAAACAGCCATGGGATGAGTGGCAAATCTTTAACTGTATGTGCCTAATTCACTTCTTAGGAAAACTACTTAACCTCTACTGTAAAGCCAATAGACGTCTTTTGCAATAAGTGTTAATTTATCAAAAAACTATTTTTCTTTTCCCGCTTAATTAAAAGTATTTATAGTAAGATTTAGAACAGAAGTTCAAACAAATGCTCCATCCCAGTAATTCAAGAAAGACAACATTTAGCTTCTCTTGTGTCTTCATAAGAATAGGACTTGCTTCTACCATTAATAGAAGGGAACTTAAATGAACTTACGTGAATCTTTTAAAGAAACTAAATTGGTGGAAAATGGTTCTTTTTAGCTGAAAAAAATCACTTTAACGGATTTCCGTGTGCACATTTTTATATAGCTTGAAGAAAAAACAAAACACAATTCAGATTTTGCAAACAGAAAAATCAAAATGCTGCACTGTCAAAGGAGAGTTCAAAGTGCTTTAAGATCCTTGTAAAAAACACATCAGAGATGTGAAGCAATAAAATAGCAATGTTGTTCTCTTTTATGCTTTGTTTTTAAAAATTCAAATGGTGGTTTATCAAAATTTAAAAACTGATTAGCTTATTTACAGCATAACATAATTGTGCTGAAATAGTCTCTGTACATGTTCAAGATAAAGCTATGTCAATAAATTTTCATTTGTAAACTCATGGCAAAAGCTTTCAATTTCTGAAAGCGGTGGAACTGTTTCTGAGATTGGCATCAGCAAATTTTGACAAAGTAGAAGTTATCGGTTTAAAAATCATAATACAATCTTTTACGTATAGCTCTTCCTAAGGATGACTGTGACTTTACAAATATGGTAACTATGGAAAGGAGATCTGAAAGTGATAGGAAGCCTATCCATCAGTCAAAATAATATTTCTGTGAAAATAAAATCTTGCCCCCAAGGCAGTAAGACAGAAATTTGCAAAGATGAAAGATAAACAGATTTATATAAATCACTAATCTGTTATTAAAGGGAGCATAGAAAAAATAAACTAACCCTGCCTAATTCTTTTTTTTTTCCTTAAAGATTGGCACCTGGGCTAACAACTGTTGCCAATCTTTTTTTTTTTCTGCTTTATCTCCCCAAACTCGCCCTATACACAGTTGTATATCTTAGTTTCAGGTTCTTCTAGTTGTGGGATGTGGGACGCCGCCTCAACGTGGCCTGAGGAGCAGTGCCATGTCCGCGCCCAGGATCCGAACCCTGGGCCGCCGCGGCGGAGCGGGCAAACTTAACCACTCGACCACGGAGCCGGCCCCTGCCTAATTCTTTATTGTTATCTTTGTTTTGAGACCCTTAGGTATGCATGACTAATAAGGTTCTACCAAATACAGATACTTATTTCTAGATTTGGTTGACATCTTAGGCCACATGGTAGTCTCAAAGGCAAGGCAGAATAGGTGATATAGGACACAAGGTGAAGGCAGAAAGAAAGGTCACAGAACATTGCCATTATTAGTGCTACTAACCTCAAGTTTCTTGCCAACTCAACAGATGATGGAATGTATGTCAGCAAAGCCATCTTCCCTCTACATCTCTAAAATCCAGTTTGAAGTAGTGTGTAACATGCTGGTATACCTACCTACGAGCAAGCGGACATAAAATAAGGCAAAGCTCCCTCCTGAAAACGTCATTTCTTCCCTGCTTAAATTCTTGCTATTTAGAATGAAGCCTCAGTTCTTTACCCTGACCCATGAGGCCCTGGGTCATCTAGCCCCTCCTCCTTGACCTCACTTTGGACCACCTCCCCCTTAATCAATGCATTTCAAGCCAAGCCAGAATTCTTTCTGCTCCTCAAACACACCTAACGATTTCTCTTCTCGGGCTTTTGTGCTTACCTTTCTCTTTGCCTAGAATGTTCTTCCCTTAGTTCTTCAAATGCCTGGCTCATTCTCATCCTTCAACCTTTAACTCTAATGTTACCCCTCAGAGATCACCACTTTATCTCAAGTAGACACAGCTTCCTCTTCGTTTCTATGATATCACCTAATTTATTCCTTTGTGGTACTAATCATTTTTGTGATATACGCAACCGTGAAAATGCATGTATCATCTGATATATTTTTGTTTGTTCTACTTCTGCTAGTCTGAAAGGTTCATGAAGACAGGGGCCTATCTTATGCTATCTATCTATCTATCTATCTTGTGCTCTACTATAGCCCCAGTGCTTGGCATCTATTAAGTGCTCAATAAACAGTCATTGACTAAATGAAAACTATAAGCAAAATCTTGCAATTTAAGAAAGCTTTTATAACAGAGTAGGTATATGACATATTATAGGATTTTTCTCCTTTTTCATTTAAAGCTCCCTTAAGAAAGACTTTATTAACAAAAAGAGGATGGCTTTTTGTTTTTCCTACATCTTATGCTACTGCACTTCTATAGTCCTACCGTTTGTTTTTTGCGTCTATTCTATTCTATTTTCTATTTGGTTTTATTCCCCCTAATGCCTTTTCTCGATTCTCCTCCTTGTTCTTTATGCGCCAGCTAACAAGAACACAAAAGTAATCTGAGTTGTGTTCCCCGTTCCCCTCCCTACCCCCAAATACTCCCCCACCACAATATGTTTCACATTTCTGTGCCTTTGCTTTTTTTCACTCTTTACTCTGTCTAAAATCTTCCTTCACTCTCCTGGCTAATGCTTATTCTTCTATAAGATCCTTCGTAGGGGGTCTCCATCCCCAGGAAGCTGTCCCAGGTTAAGTGACCCTACTTCCTAATTTATCACTTACCACATTATAGTAAACTCATCTGTTTAACAGGTATTTCTGGAACCAGAATAAGATCATAGAAGGACCATCTTTTTATACTCCCAGTGCCAAGCTCAAAAATTGTCAGCCTGAACTTCAACTATTATCTTTCTTCCTGATTTTCAGCTTTCTTCTTCCTAAGCCTGTTTTACCATATACCATTAAATATAAAATACAATTTTACCAAAATAATTTTATATTTGTATATGCATTAGAGTGTACAGAGTAGTTTCATATTTAAAACTTATTTTAATCATTATTTACATTTTATCCTCATTTCCAATTTTTTTCTTAATTGTGGTCCTATTATGAGCAGAGATTATCTTCTTTAGGGCTCTAAAACAGAATTTTATATTGTACCACAACTATATGGACATTCACCAGATCACATTCTTTACACAATTGTTATCACACTCAAACTTTAGGCAAGGGATTAAACCTGTAAGATGACTAGGACACTGTGCTAAGTGCCACGAGGAAAACAATAAAAAATAAGATATTTCCTGTCCTAAAATGTTTATTAATTGGGCAGACAACTCATCAATAAATGAAAAATTTACATATGCAGAGATATTTGAGATTAATTTCCAAATTGTCCAAGCACTAACTGCTATATTTTTAAAGGTAGGTTGGTTAAATCGTCTTTATTTAAGGTTTTATTGCCCTCTAGTGGATCAAATAACTATCTCTAGAAAACTATTTATAACAATGGCAAATTTGAGAATTGAAATGAAAAAGGTCATTTAACTATTTTTACTATTTGTATTTCAACTGGCAAACTTTAGAAAATGGCAAAAAGACTTCCCATTCATCATCTGGTGGACCAAAATGCAATAATACTCTTCAGGCAGTTACTGTTAGTTATTCCCTGTGCTGTTTCCATGGTATTTCCTTTATGGAACTTGTCATTTAGTTTCTTTTGTCTCCCTCTCTACTGCTTGCCTTGCAGCATGGTGAATTCATGTTTGAGGCATAACTGAATGAAGCATCAGGAAGGAGTAAATACTAAAGTTAGGAAAATATAGCAACAGACTTGGGAACAATTCCAACGTGGTATCTCTTGCAATTTATCTTTCTTCTCAATTTTATTGGGAAGGATGGTGATATAGTATTACATTTCTTTCAGCTCCATCATAGTCAGCAAACCACATTCCAATTTAATAAGCTCAGTATATTTACTTATCAGTTATTTATTGCACAGCTGCTAAATACCAGGCATTGGGGATAACATAAGTGATGGATAAAAGAGATAAGGTCACTAGACTTCCAGTCTGGTGGAAGAGACAGATATTAAACTGATAATCACAAAAAAATTTAACTGATTTTGTGGCAAATTCTATAAAGGAAATGTAGGTAATACCATGAGAAAACATAACAACGGGACTGAGCTAGTCTTAGTTTAGAGGGATGGGGAGAGAGAGGAGGATAGTTAGGAAAACACATAAATCTTTTTTTGAAAAGTATTTTCTCTCAGAGTTGTCACATTAAAGGTGATTTTTATTTTCTTCATATATTTACAATATTTTATAAATTACTTTTATAATTAGAAAAATCAATAAATATAATAAAAATACTGAGCAGGGAACTTAGCAATAACAGAGAAAACCTTGGGTCCTCTTCACCTCTCACACATAAAAGTAGAAACAAGGTTGTTGAGATGGAGACGGAGAAAAGTGTAAATGTTACCGTAGGTTGATGGGAACTAATTAGGGTCTCACTTTGCTTTTGTTTTGAAGGCCCAGAGATTATCCAAGTCAATAACCAGGAATGAAGACTCTGATAGACTTACACATTAAAATATGAGGGGTACAGGTGGACACGTTATAGAGCATTTTTAATTTAACATGGAATACTCTAGAATACTTGCTTTCTCTCCTAGTCAAGTCATATGGGGAGCTAAACCAGAATCCAAAGATGCTTTCCTAATTTACCATGAAAAAGTATCATCACAAGGAAGGGACATATCTTGAGCCTATATTTTTCTTTTGGGTATAACTACATGTTAAGCCAAATTGTAACGCTGCTTGAGGAAAGGGCGTAAGGTAAACCAAATATTTAACGGAATCAGGCTAATATAGCTGATGCATCCTTTTCACACTAAAGAAGGTTTTGTCAATGGGCCCAGATATATAAGCTCATTGATTTCCACCCCTGCATCCTATTTTCATACTAGCCAAGTGTTTTTCAAACTTCAGTGTGCGTCAAAATCACCAGAAGGGCTTGATAAAACACAGATTTCTGGGCCCCAATTTCAGAGTTTGGTTCAGTAAGTCTGGGATGAGGGCCCAAGAATTTGCATGTCTCACAAGTTCTCAGATAATGCTTATGTTGCCCACACTTGAAAACCACTTGCCTAGCCACTGGGGCTGTCTGATGGTGAGCAACACTTGTGATTAACACGGTCATAGCTAAATCTTAAAGCCTGAGAGCATTTCAGTCTCTTTCATATTACCTTGTAATTCTTTGCTCTAATCCTATTATCTGGTGGCTTTTCAGCTTAACTCCCTCATTACCAAGTTCTTAGAAGGCACCTTAATAGTCTATGAAAAACCATGCCCATGTATGTACTCACACCAACACACTTTTTTCTCATTTGAGCTAGATTAGAAAATCTGGAATAATTCTTATTAAATGTTAGATCATGGAGAAAAAATTAATTAAGGAATGTGAATTGGCTTATGGGGAGGGTGATGAAGAGAAGATGGAGAAGTGCAAGATGTGGATCCTATTTTAATGAAGTTTGTAATCCGGTTGGGCTCATAATTTCTTTTGCAGGCTTTATGGTTCTCAAAGTGCTTTTACATCATTATCTGATCCACTTAGAGAAATTAACTAATTCAAGGTCAAGAAGCAGGTGGAATCAGGTCTGGAATTCATGCCTTCTGATGGTAGTTCATCAGTCTTTCTAGTCCATTACATTGTTTGTTCAAGCTTCACACTTAAATTATTTGCATTTTTCCCAAGGCTGTGGCCAAAGGATGAAATCACTCCTTTAAAAAACTAGTCCCCAGTTCTAACGACATACGGCAAAAGAGATATGACTAACTATTCTCCCTTTCTTCATTCCTCCTACACTGTTCTTGCTTTGCAAGAAAATCTTTGTCACTTTGTTGCTTTCAGATTTTCTGTTCCATAGTTTACAGGCCAAGAGTCCTCAGTTATGGGAAGGGTGGCTATTTTGAGTTGTTTTCTTAAAATTATCTAATGGTGTCTTCCAAGGTCACATACTTTGTATAATTTTTCTAAAGGCAGTCATAACAAGTCTCTGATAAATGATTTACTGACATTAACATGAAAATTCTAGAAAAGGGAGAGGCAGGCAGGAGACAGAAAATCAAATTAAAAAAACCAAAGGGACAAAACCTCTTTTGTTTCAAGAAATACTGGTGAAAAACATTTTTAAAACGTTACTCAGATAATCTTAGTGAGTGCAACACAGTTTGTCCATTGCATTTATGACAGGTAAAGTTCTATTCTAGGGATGGGGAGGGCCACACGGTTACAGAAAGAAAAACAGGCTCTTGAGTTCAAGGAATTTATAATCTATTGGCTAAGACAGACAATATATAACTACCAATGAAGTGACACAAAGGTACACACAATATTTGCAAGCTTCAGACTTCCATATCTCAATGCTTACCTGAAAGCCAACTATATATGACGTCTCATAGACATCTCAAGGTTTAGTAGGTACAAAACTTGAATTCTTAGTTTCCTCTCAAACCTCTTTACTTGCAGTTTTCTCCATCTCAGTAAATGGCACTACTCACCAACCAGCAAATCAGGCCAGATATCTAGGAGTCATCCTTGATGACTCTTTTCCTCAAGTCCCACATTATACCCATCAGTAAGTCCTTGAGTCTATTTCCATATCTAAAAACCATCATTTACTTCCCCCTCTATGTATCATACCACCACTTTAATCCAAACTGCCATCATCTCCTGCTTATGGTGCTGCATTAGTCTTGTAACTGTGAGATTAGCTCCCTGCCCACCTCTCATACAACTGTCCTTTCTGAATCTTTTCCAGCAAGACTGGTCTTTTCCTAGGTTCTCAACATTAAGATGCCAAGCTCTTTCCTGACTCAGGGCCTTTGCAAATTGATTCACTCTGGGATGTCCTTCCTTTTCTCTCTTGCATGGCTGGATCACTCTTATCTTTTAGGCCTCAATTTAAGTGTCAACTCCTCAGAGACCAACCTAACTCAAGTAGGTTCTCCTGTTATTCTTAAGTCCACCCATACAAGGTTTAAGTTTCATTAGGACAGGATTCTGTCTATCTTGTTCACCACTGTTATTCCAGCATCTAGGAATACTTGGCACAGAGGAGGGAGGCACTTAGAAACTATCTGCAGAATGAATAAACTAACTACTGGGTGCTTTGTGACTCTATCCTGCAGGGTCAGGAAAGTCTTCCTGACTTAAAAGTCTTCATAAACAGAGACCTAAGGAATGAGTGAGAATTAGCCAGGCCGGGGACCAGGTCAGAAGAGGTCTGGAGGTGAGGGATGATGGTGCAGTTGAGGAACTCAAAAAGACATTCTGTAACAGCTGGAGCCCAGGTCTAGAGTGGTGAAGAACAAAGCTGGAGAGGTAGGCAAAGGCCAGACAGAAAGGGCCCTGGAAACCAAGTTAAGGAGTTTAGACTTAAACCTGGGGGCACACAGGAACGATGGAAAGGTTTTACACGGGGAAATGGCATGATAAGATTTGCGCTTTATCAGCCTGGCCATGTGGAGACTGGATTGGAAAGAAACAAGACTAAAAGAAGGAGAACCATCTAGGAGCCTCCCATCATAGCTCTGTAGCAGTCATGGTGCTGAACCAAAGTAATGACAGTAAAAGTGGCGAGAAATGTACGGATTTGAGATATTCCAGAGGCTGGTATGAGTGGCTGGATGTGAGAGAGAAGGAAGGAATCTAGAAAACTTTCAAGTTTCTGGTTTGAGCACACCGCTCCATTAAGCACTTTTCCCTTTGGGCCATCCATGCAGTTTGGGAAAGACCCCTTTTGAGCACATAATTATTCGGCATGGCAGCCAGCTGAATGTGCATCTCTGAGCTCCTCCAAAGCTGGAGTAGCACCTTTTCTTCTCCGTATTCCGGCTCCAGATGCTCACCCATGTCTAGCTGGATGCCACAGTAAATGTTCAATAAACGCTCGCGCAGCGATTGCAACACCACTGTCTAAAACGAAAATGATCGGCCTTTTTCCTCTTCTCCCTTCATGGCCTTCCTTTGACAGAAAAGACCCACCCTTGGAAAAACAACGTATAATGCTCTGAGTCTCATTCATAATAAAGCTGAAGGCCTCATTAGGAGTGTCCAGCCCTTGCGCCCCCCAAGAACCTCTCCCCGCAGCTCCTCACCTGAGGCAGAGGGCCGGGACCCTGCCCGGGCGAAGCTCCGGCACTCAGCTGGCAAGACTCAGCCGCAAGCCCAGCGCCCTCCAATCGAATCTCCCGCGTCCCCTTCCGCCGGAAGTGACGCTTTGGCCGTGTTTCCTCAGAGCCAATCAGAAGACGCGCCGCCGCGAGATTCTGAGCATGGGGAACCACCATTTTCATTAGACTTGGGGTAAAGCCTGGGCTTGGGGAATGTTCTTCCTCGACTGGTGGAGCAGTAGGACAGTCTCTAAAGCTGTTTTTGGGGCAGCGCTGAGACAGCTGGGCGTAGAGCTCCCGGGAAGGCATAGCAGCCGGCGGGAGCGCCCCTCGGACTGGGGTTCAGCGGGGCGACTGGAAGAGGCGTGGAAGCTGGGTGAGGGGGTTGGCGGAGCGGAGAAGACGGAAAGGGCTCGGCCCGGGGCGGGGGCGGGAGGAGGGCGGAGGCAGGGCCTGCAGCGGGCTCCTGGGTGCCGGGAGAAGAAAGGGGGCGTAACCTAGCAAGGACGGGTCCGAGGGAGATTCGCGGCCTGAGTGGGCCCCAGGCGACCTCCGTAAGGGATGGGTTTGGCAAGCCAGACGGAGATTTGGAGTGAACCACTGACGGACTACCGTAGGAGGTGATCAGGCTGACATACTCGAGGGGCGGTGCAAGGAGCCACACCGAGCGGTCTGCGAAGCCGTACTCCAGTCTGAATACCCTCCTGTCTGAATGACCCAGTGCAAGCCTCTGCGCCTCTCCGAGCCTCAGTTTCCTCATCTATAAATGGGAACAACAATCATACACGACGCATGAGATGCTGTGATGGTTCAGTTAGATGAGATAATGTGTGTGCCATTATGCCCAGTGACATGTAGTGAACGATCACTAAATTGTCATGGTAGTTATTATTACTATTCTATGCGATTTGCAGAGGGCAAGGGGTGTGGCAATGGAATTGAGTCGGACAGGGCTGGATTTGGTGGTGACGATGCAGGCGGAGATTTAGGGTGAACAGGCGGAAAGGTAGGCTTGGATGCTGTATAGGACGGGATTCGGCTGTCAGTAGGAGGCCCTGGGGATGATAAGGGCAGACTTGAAGTGTGACTACAATGTAGGTGGACTCTAAATAGGGGGTGGCACGACAGGGAAATGAAATGCGGCGTTCCCTGGGCTGGAGACGGGGGCGCTGTGGCTTGGGTGACTTGGGTTTAGGCGGCGTTACTGAGGGGCGTGGTGGCTTTGGGTTTCCTTGGGGAGGAGCCTGTCTGCGGCAGGCGGAGCTGCGGGCTGGACCCTGCTCAAGCTGCCTGCATCTGCCGGTCTCCTTCCCACTCAGACTGCAGCCGCCAACCTGAGCCATGGAGCACCGCGCCCTTCTGCTCCTGCTCCTCGCTTTCCTGACGCCCGGGGCCCCCATCCCCGTACCGCCGGCCCTGAAGGCCCTCAGCAACCTGCACTTGTCAACCAGATTAACATCCCGCCCCGCTATAGACATAAAGTACTCGATTCACTACATCCAACAAAAGGTAAGGCGGGTGGGCGGGAGGGACTAGGGCTTCTCAGTCCCCAGCCCAACCGACGGGACCCCAGGCACGGGAGCCCACCAGGAATTTCAGACCCCTGATGCCTAGGACTTGTCCGGTCTTTGGCTCACAGTTTCCAGATGGTGGCCCTAAGTCCCCGTTCTGTTTAAAATCTCTCCTCCCGTTATCAGTAATTTAATATCAACCCTGGCTCCACACTGTCTTCTGCAGTTGGCCACAACAGTCACTTCAACTCCTCCTCCTAGAGAATGCCCTAATCCAAATTCCTTTCACCTCCCACCAAATTCAAATTATTTAATGCCAGCTCTGGTCCCTGCTCCGTGGTGACAGTCATCCTTTGTCCAAAAACAGCCCCTAAATACAAATTTCCAATCTTATTAGATAATATCTAGTATTTATTAAACTTAAAATGCCAACCTGTCATTTCATGTTCAGCTCAAAGTTGATTTTTAATCCTTTTATTAAGAGTTTTTAACCTTCCCTTTTCTGCATAGGACAATATATATGTAGCCATGCTTGTAAAGGAAGTTGTAGGAGTATGTCAAGATTTGAGGGTGGGAGCGGGGGTGGGGGTTTAGCATCTCCATGGCTCTGAAGCTTGAGTTTAGAGGTTTAAGATAGGTTTGATGCCTTTGTGCTTGGCCTTAGCATAAGGGATTCCCAACAGGCCTGGATGGAAAAGTCCATGCTGTGTGAAATGACAGGTTCTCTTACAGTTCTGTATTTCTAGGAGCCTGTGTAAACATGTAAAAATCTCCGTGTAAACAAAGATTTGGGAAAGATTGGGATTAGAGAGTGCAAGAATCTAAGATTTGGCTTTAGGAGTCAGATAGACCAGGATGCCACTCTGCTAGTTCTGTGACCTTGGATAAGTCACAGTACTTCTCTGATCCCAGTTTCTTGATCTGAGGATTTGGTGATGTTTAAATGAGAGCAGATGACATGTCCCTAGCAGAGTATCTGGCCTCAAGTAGGCACTTATTAAATTGATGGTTACTGATCTATAGGAATTTTGAATAGGAATTTGGGATAGAGGGATGGCATGAATTTGTAGAATAACATGTAGGAAATGGTTTTTAACCCAGAAATTTAAATTAGAGTTTATGAGGAAGAGAAAGCATTTTAGTTGTAGCAGAGTTACCAGGAAATGGGTATTTTTCTCAGGCAACTCACTTAAATTAACTCTCTAGGCTACAGTTTCCTCATTTGTAAATTGAGAGATTTGGACGAGGACCAATGTGTTTTACATTTTACTGAGGAAAATTAAGGGCTCTTTGGGGAGCTGTCTCAGAGGGATGGTGGGTGAAGGCCCAAGCTGAAGCCACGTCAGGGTGCTCTAGTACCCCCTTTCTCCCTGACCTCTTTCAGCCTGAGCTATATGACTGTATCTGTTTTATCTACTGGGATTCTGTTTACGACTGTTTGCAGAGTTTGATTGCTGTAGTAAAACTGAAGGGAAACTATCCAAACGAGTGTCTCTAAAATCCCTTTAGGAATGATGAAAAAGAGAGAACTATCAGCAGAAAAGGGGGGAACGAAGGGGTAGAAGAGACCAGATGATCTCTTAGTGCCAAATTTATATTCCTTCACTGTAAATTCTTTTCTTGATCACTTTGCTCTTTAGAAATATAATTTAAGGTCAGTTCTTTTTCCATTTTTGGTGATTTGCAAAATCTGTTTGGCTTTACTCAGCCACCTTTACCCTTCTGGCTTACATTTAGTTAATATATTAGGACAGATTCCACTTGTATGTTTATTACCATAATAATAATTTTCCTTACATCAATTACAATTGAGTTTTATTTTGTTTTTTAAGAAAAACTTCGTATATGTATTTATTGCATATAATGGTTATATAGTAGCTAATTTCTGGACTGTAGATTTTTAGTTGGGACTGACTATGTATGTGTAAACCAACTTTAATTTTTTTAGTTAGAGCACGTGAAATACTTTTTATGCCTTTTAATATTAAATATTATTATTATAACTGTAAGGCTCAGTTTTTATTTGAGGTTTAATTTTTATCAAACTTTATAATGATTTTCTTTATCTGTGGTTATATCTGTCCAGCTGGCTAAGCTATTCCCAGCTGTCCTTATATGCACATAAGCTCCATGAATGGTCTCTGTAAAAAGTTTAGCCCGTGGCCCTATCCCTCTCCTGCTGAGAAATCCTTCATAACTCTGATGACTTGCAGGATAAAGGTCAAACTCCTTGGCATTGTTCCCCACTGCATAACCCCAGCTGGCCTTTCCAGCTTCGTATCGTGCCATAAGCCCCACTTGCCCCCTGCCCCCCAACACACACATACACTTTTAGCAACACAGACTCAGTTGAATGTTGCTGTGTCAGAAATTCTATCTAGAGTACCATCCCTCTTCTCCACTAGTTAAACTCATACTTCTATCCCAGCTGAAATGTTACCTCTTCTGTGAAATCTTCTTAAATTTAGAGCAACTTAGTTGGTCTTTTTTCACTCTGCACGCTTACTATTTTGTATGTATCCCCCAGCCAGGTGGCACCCTCCACTACCCAGAAGAACCCATAAAAAATATAAAGCACAAGATTAATATTTGTTGAGGGAGTGAATGAATGACTATCCAAAGAAAGCCTAAATGAAGCAAAGTCTACCATCATTTAATTGACATAAATCATTTTTTGTTTACTTTTCATTTTTTACTTCCTGTCTTTACCAATTATTTTTTCTCTTCTTTAGAAATCTTCAAATGGTTGATTTAGTAGGAATATTTGATTTCTTTTATCCAGAATAACTGAATCAGGAGACTAGACAAAGGATAGTATATCACTTGGGCACTTCAAGGCTCTGGGTGCATGTGTGATGCCAGTGTTGTAAAGAGCTCCTTGGGATGGGTGGCCTGTGGTTACAAGGTTTCTCTGCTTCTGCTTACCCTCCACCTCCCACCCCAGCCCCTCAGATAAGACTGTGTGTCCTGAGGAAAGAGAATGGGTCCTTTCAGGCCATCGTCTTCCTCAGGGGTGAAATAGAGAATAATATCTACTGTATTAGTCGGGGTTCTCTAGAGAAACAGAACCAATAGGATGTGTCTGTGTGTGTGTGTATATCTCTTTCTCCTTGGAGAGAGACTGATTTATTTTAAGGAATTCGCTCATATGATTGTGGAGGCTTGATAAATCTAAAATCTGCAGGGTAAGCTGGCAGGCTGGAGACTCAGGGAAGAGTTGCAATTTGAGTCCAAAGGCACTGCCTGCAGAATTCCTTCTTGCTCAGGAGAGGTCAGTCTTTTGTGCTATTTAAGCCTTCACCTGATTAAATGAGGCCTACTCACATTATGGAAGATAAATCTGTTTTACTCAGAGACTACTGATTTAAATGTTAATCTCATCCAAAAAACACCTTCACAGAAACATTCAGAATATTTGGCCAAATATCTGGGCACCGTGGCCCAGCAAGTTGACATGTAAAATTAACTATCACATCTACCAATGTTGTTGTGAGGGTTAAATATGGTAACACATGAAAGCACGTGCTCACTGCCTGGAACGTGGTAGGAACTTAAAGAACTTGATGGCATAACTGCTGGTTCCTTCCCCATACTGTCCTAGAACCACACTCTCCAGAGTGTCATACATTTCAGATTCATCCGCATGCATGACAGTTGCAGTAATGCCTCTTCTAGAAACCTAGTGGTCAGTCACCTATACTCAACTCTTCCTCTTTAACTGCTGACCAGTGTTTATGTTAGAACTCTGCGTCTTAGCCCAGCGTTGAGCTCATGGTCCCCGGCTGCGGCAAGGCCTTCCCACAGCTCCTTCCTTGTATGCTGTGAGGCAATCACACCAGTGGGCTAAGCTCTTTTGATTTATGTACATCTCTTACGGTTCTACTTTCAACTCCTGTTCTAGGTTCCCCCTTCCCACTCTTGTCATGGTGTCCCTGATGTCTAGTAAAACGTAGCGGTCTTGGGCCCCTTGCAAAGGCCTATTGCTCTTTCTCCTCCTCCTCTTCTTCTTCTTACTTTTTCCCTCTTCTCCTCTTATTGGTTCATCTACTGCTGGCCTTCGCCTTAGAACTGGAGTATACCGTCACAAATATTATGTAAATTCTGAACTGATTTCTGGTTTTTCTCACAGAATCATTGTCAGAAGGGGTCTTGGAGATCATGTAGTCCATTCCTTAGATGAATTGACCTGGATCTATATTATGGAAGGTCAGGAACTTGATAGAGCTTGACTGCCATAGAGGTTTGAGAATGAGTTATGTTTCTACTTCTACCTGAATACCTTCAGACAAGTTACTCTGAGCTTCCATTTTTATAATCAGCAAAATGGGGATAATTATACTACTCATCCCACACATTTGTTGTGAAATAAACTTTTATGTGTAAAGTGTTTATTTAGCACAGTTTATATCACTTGGTAGACACTCAATAAATGGTAGATTTATTTTTATTTTATCCTGCAGTTTTTTAATGTGTGTGGCTTTAACTTAACTCCTCTCCAGTCAGAATAAAGCACTTAAATCATCCCTTATCATACCTAAAATAGTTATTCTGGAAAGAATGGAAATCTGTGTGAACTCTTTTCCATTACATAAATAGTACATATGTGCCTTTTTATCAGTGGGATGTAATTTAATACTTGTAAGTAAGGCATAGAAATTTAACTTTTTTCCTTGTTTGAAATAATTTTCTTTCACACAAGACTGATACATACAGAAAGTCATATGAAGCTATTTCTATTTTTTTGTATACTATTTTGAGTTTTAGTCAATTGTGGAGGGGAAAATATGATAATGAATGTATCCTTTTAGGTTTTTCCAAATGCCTTCTCTCTCTTTTTTTTTAAAGATTTAATTTTTTCCTTTTTCTCCCCAAAGCCCCCCGGTACATAGTTGTATATTCTTCATTGTGGGTCCTTCTAGTTGTGGCATGTGGGACGCTGCCTCAGCGTGGTTTGATGAGCAGTGCCATGTCCGCGCCCAGGATTCGGACCAACGAAAC